CAGATGTGTGCTGAAATATTCCAGAAGTTAAAAATGGATGGTCATAAATATGTAATCAGACAAACTCGACTCAAACATGAAGGACAAACAAGGGCATGTAGAAACTGTGTGTATGTGCTCTAACATCCACCTGATCACTGCTGTATTTCATCATTTAATCAATATCCACATACTACTTCCCCACCCCCGTTGTCCCTCCACCCTCCATTTTTTTTCCTTGCACATTGATCTTTCTCCCCCCCCTCCATCCATCCATCCCACTTTGCCCTTCGTCTGTCTTTTCTCTCCAAAACCAAAGATTGAAAACCCCGCCGTCCCCATCTCTTGATATCTGCCCAGGATAATTGCTCTTTCTTCTCGCTCTCCCATCTCTTTTTCCCCCCCTCCTGACTCATTCATTCTTTGCTCTGTCATATTCCTGTTGTCTTTCATCCACCTCTCTTTCATCTCTCTCTTTTCCTCTGTCTTCCTGACTCCATCCAAGCCTCCCTCTCATCTCCTCTCTTCTCCTGTGTATAATGTAATTGCAGAAGTCTATTCAGTGTGTGAGCATTCCATTGCAGCGCTGGCAGATGAAAGCAGTTGGGATTTAGCAACCGTAGCGCGATGGGAGTTCGGGGGATCTTGGCTGTCACTGGCAGAGACAGGGAGGGTGTGAGGAGAAGGAGGAGGATGTGCTTTCACCGCATATTTTCATTACGTGTTCATTATGTGTTTGTTTTTTTAAATGCCTAAATACTGTCTATTTAAAGTCCTCATCTGGCATCATGTCCAGATGATCCATGTGGGCAAAGGTTTGTGGACAAATGTATGTGCACTGTAAAAAAAGTCAGTAAAATATACATCAAAACACCGTCAAATTCCAACGGTAATGGAGCGTAAAACCAAAAACTTCCTTTTACTGTATTAAATAGATTGAATAACCGTTAATTGTGAGACTGGATAAAACTTTGTTTTTTACTGTAATAAAATGTTGAAATTATAAATATTTTCTGTGAAAACAAATAAATATGCATACATTTTACAATTACATATTGTAATGTTGAAAATGTCTGAAAAACTTAGATTTTACGGTATTATTTGAGTAAAACTACATCTTTTGGGGTTGTGCACATTGGAATTCACAGTATAAAGCTGTAGATTTTTAAGCAAACAAAAACATTCATTTTTACAGAAGCAAGATGTTAAAAAATAGGGTCCACCGTAATAAAACAACCAGTACATACCATTAACAAAAAAAAACAAACAAAAAAAAGAAGCAAATATCAGCAGTGAAAGACAATAAAACTGATAGTATTTTTTTATTTTAAAATTCAGATACTGATATACAGATTAAAAGTTAGGCCTGCAGTATATCATTGTTAACCTTCTGATAAAAAAATCAACAGCAAAAGAAGATGTTAAAAATAAAGTTCATGGTTGTGAATAAAATTGATTTCAATAATCTTTTTTAATTATTATTTTTAAAACAACTATATGTTGTTGTGTTTCACGCCATATTATCAGACCACCTTAAGTGGGTCCACCTTAAATTTTGAGTTTGTGTGATCGCTGTTGATTGGTAGCTAAACTGCTGGTAAACTGTGTACAGACGTTTTACGTTCGAATTGCAGAGAAAAAAAAAATCTGGTAGCAACATTGTGCAGTATGAGCGAACCATTTCACCAAAAAAAGGGGAAGCAAGGCAAGACGTGGCCGCAGCGGTCTGCAGACGTGACTTCTGATCAAATTCGAACCTCCTCCTAAAGAAACAAAGAGCGACGTTACATTGCGGGATAACGTCACCTGAAAATGACCAATAGCGCGGCGCGCTGCTGAGCTGTGTGCCAACCGCTCTTTTTTTCATGCAGGAGACTCAAGTTGGCTTCACTAACGGACACAGTTTTAAACTCGCAATTTAGCGCCATTTATTGCTGCTTGGACCACAGCAAAATCCGGAATTTGTAGACATCCTGGCAGCTTACAATTAGTTCGAGGTGAGGTGAGTACATGCAACTTCAAGTTATCTCTGTTATAAAAATCCACCAGCCCAGCGTTTATAGATAATTTTAGCAGTTCGTTTTTTTATGAGTGAGGTTGTGAATTTAGTTAGCATTTGTGAGTTGAGTTAGCATTACTGTCGCGAGGGAAGCATTGCTCTGGATTAGTTTCTGTATTTGGCGTGCTTAATTCGCTAGGGAGGAATTACCAAAGTACTTGGAGTTATGTTAATGTGTAATTTCTGTGGTAAGGTAGTTCAGTCATCAAGGGGCTACGTGCTTCATTGTAAACTGCATCGGAATGAGCCACGTAGTTTCTTTCGGTGTATTGAAGCAGGCTGCAAGCAGACATACACCAGGTATGGCGCGTTTAAGGCTCATTTTTACCGAAGACACTCTGCCCCCACCCATGTCACTGGTGTGGCGGTGGTTTCTTCGTTTACATGTGCAATGGCGATGTGTGAACGTCAGTGTCAGAACTCTAAAGAGTTAATAGCTCATCTGAAGAGCCATATTGTGGAAGGACACGTGGTCACTTGTCCAGTAAGAGGATGCACAAATACCTTTAGAGTTAAATCATCTTTTACTGCTCACATGTCACGTAAACACAGAGTTTTCAGACAGCAGCATTGGTGATTTATATAGACAGTCTGCATGTCAATCATCATCTGTTCCAACCACATCAGATGACTTTGTACCCTTGATTTCCGAGCCTGCTGCACAGTCTATTACAGATGAAGATAATATGGAAATGCCCCCTGAATTCTGTGATCTTTTTCTGAGAAACGTTTCACTATTCTACTTAAAATTGCAGGGTCAGTTTCTACTGCCTGCTTCAACCATACAGAACATTGTGGAGGAAATGCAGAACATACATGAGTTGGGACAGACATACAGTTTGGGTAAACTTGCATCACTGTTAAAAGATGACACATCATTATCAGAGGAGGACATCAACAAAGTCTGCGAGTCTGTCAAAAGCTATGATCTTTTTTCTGCATGTCATACCGGGCCATTGAGGACAGTGCACTCCAGAGCTCAGATCTTTAAAAAAGCCTTCAACTATGTGGAACCAAAGAAAATATTTTTAGGGAGAGATGAAAACAGAAAAGATAGGTTTGCCTATTATGTGCCTTTAAGAGAGACTTTGAGATGTCTGCTAGAGTCTGATCTGTGGCAGAAATCAGAAGAGCCCTCTACTGAGCCTCCTGTTGATGTTCTGTGTGACTTAAGTGATAGTAAGCTGTTTAAATCAAATGATTTTTTTGGTCAAAACCCATCATGTCTCAAGCTAGTACTCTACCAGGATGCCTTTGAAGTCGCTAACCCTTTAGGCTCTGCAAGGACAAAACACAAGGTATTAGCTGTATATGCATCAGTGGCAAACTTGCCACTTCATGTACGCTCAGACACAGATCACATGTCTCTTGTCTTACTGTGCAGGGAGAAAGATTTTAAAGAGTTTGGTCATGCTAATGTGTTCTCTGAATTACTGGCAGACTTGAAAGAATTGGAGGACAGTGGGATTGTTGCATCAGATGAAACTAGAGTCAAAGGAACTTTGTTTTGCATTGCTGGTGATAATCTGGGTTCTCACTGTATTGGTGGCTTCACTGAAAACTTTAGTTCTTCAAAGTACTTCTGCAGGTACTGCCTGATAACGAAATCTGAATTTCAGGGTGCTGACCCAAATCTGTGTGGACCAGAACGTACCAAAGAGAACTACAACTCTGCTGTTGATCGCCTCCAGATTGACAATACACCAGACGTCGAAGGAGTGAAGTTCAGGTCAGTGTTCAATTCACTGAAATACTTCAACGTTTGTATGCCAGGCTTGCCACCATGTCTAGGTCATGATATCTTTGAGGGAGTTTTGGCTTATGATGTGGCACTGTATCTGAAATACTTCATAAAGAAAAAAGCATGGTTCACTTACTCCACTCTGAACCGACGCATCAAACAGTTTAGTTACCATGCCTCTGATGCTTCTACAAAGCCATCTGAGGTCAGTCCTCAAGCAGCTAAACTCTCAGGACAGGCTATACAGAACTGGAACTTCCTCCGATTGCTGCCTCTCATAGTTGGTGACACAGTGACAGACCCCACAGATGATGTGTGGAACTTAACTCTGCAGCTGAAAGATATTGTAGACATGGTGTGTGCTCAGAAAATTTCAGTGGCTCAGGTAGCATATCTTGATATTCTTATTCAAGAATATTTAGAGTCAAGAAAAGCTCTGTTCCCAGAATGCAACCTGAGACCAAAACACCATTTTCTACGCCATTACCCAGCACTGATTCTGAAATTTGGCCCACTGATAAGATTATGGACAATGCGCTTTGAAAGTAAGCACAGTTATTTCAAGAGGTGTGCCAGAAATCTGAAAAATTTCAAAAACCTCTGCCATACACTCTCTGAAAGACATCAGATGTTTCAAGCCTATCTTGCAGCAGGGTCATTGTGTCAGTCTGTCTTGAAGGTCAAAGATGGTTCTCCATTTTACTCAGTGCTGTACAGTAAAGCCATTCAAGAAGCAGTTCAAATGTTTGACTTTACTGAAACCAATACAAAGGTCACAGTAGAAATGATGTACAAGGGAACACAGTACAAGAAAGGACACTTCCTTGTCACAGGGGGCTCTGACTCTGTTGAGTTTGGTGAAGTAGTTCTCATTTTGATTAAGAATGACAGTGTTTATTTTCTGGTGTCGGTGCATGTGACAGAATACCATTCTCAGTATCATCTGCACTCAGTGAGAAAGGAAAAAGAAAAGATGCAGTGTGTGAACATCATTGACTTAATTGATTTCTATCCATTAACATCTTACATGAAGTATGGGTACCAAATGGTTCCATTGAAACACAGTGTGCTGTCACAATAATGGTGCTGTTAGTTTGGTATTTACGTAACACTGTATAAAAGTGTAGTATCAAGCAAGATCAGCTTCATGTTTTAAGACCAAAGGTACCAACTTGGTGTAAATTGACCTTTATTCACATTCTTTTATCAGACATCTCGGAAATGGGGGACAGCATAAGGAGTTCCATTACTAAGGTGCTGCCGGACCTGTCTGCCTCAATCCTTGAAATTGTAGTGGAGGCACTACAATCATTAGGAGTGGAGACATCTGAGGACTTGCAGTTCATCAGTGAGACTGATCTGAACTCTGTCCTGAGACCAGTTCAGGCAAGAAAACTGCTGGCTGCCTGGAAACAAACCAGTAAGTATTATGATTTCATTGCACAATAGCCATGAAGGGCTTTCTGTTTTTTCTATTATGCTTTGGCCAAGGTCCAAAAAGTACAATTAATCTATTGTTTGTGATATTGTTTTACAGCACCAAATATGGAAATTTCAAGCCAGGCCAGCATATCGTCTCCATCTTCTTGCTCCTCATTTTCTGCCTCCCCCTCACCCAGTCCAATATATTCTCTAGACTGGGTAGATAACTTTAGAATTCCAAGTGAAGATTTTCCAGAAGACTTGATCCAGTGTCTTCAGAGAGAGAAAAGACCAAAGCCTCGATTGCGGAGGGAGATGATCCGCATCATTGTGAAGGAGATGATGAAAGCCTGTGCCTCTCCAAGTAGAAGAGCCTCGACTGAAATTGCAAAAAAACTGGTTGCGTTGTATCCCAAGTCACTGCAGGATGTCATAGAGGGGGATGTGGTAGGACAGGGGTACCACTCTTTGGTAAAACAGATTCAGGCACGAATTGAAAATGTGAAGAGGTCTACTTCACCAGTGTTACAGAAGCGCAAACAGGGAGGATCAGATGACACCGATGAAGTGACACCTGAAAAGCGAGCATCTGTTCAAGACACATATGGCTGCATAAAGTGGGACATGAAGTTTTTGCCAGTCAGTGAGACACTGGAAACCCAGCAGGAGAAGAAGGAACGTATGAAGATTCTCAGTGAACAGACAAGCTTCAGTCATGAAGAAGTAAAAACTCTAATGAAATGCACCTACTACTCTCAGCGCAAAGCAATAAACAGCGGAGCAGACATGCAAACCCTCAAAGAAGAGTGGCCTTTTTTGTTTCAGGCGATTGGAATGACAGTCCATTTTGAAGAACTTACTGGGGTACCGCTGAAAGAGACTTTCCTCACCAGTCTGGAAAAGAAGGGAAAACGGGTTCTGGACTTTCTGAAAACCACTTGTGCAGACAAGAGCAAGCGTGTCTTGGAGGCTGTCATAAAGCTTCGAATGCAGAGGGGACAGCTGAAGGGCTGCTCAGAAGACGTGAAAGATATGACGCTCCTCCTCCTCTCCTATTTCGATGAAAAAGAGGAGACCCTCTTCCACTATGTTGATGAAACATGTCTGGCAAAAGAAGTCCAAGTGGAAAGCCTGCCTGTGACACCATGTGTCATTGTTTGTGGTGAGTTGAAAATTAGTACAGTGTGCACAGAACCTAAGCTAATGCAAGGATACGCTATATTAAATGTCTGCACTTTCACTATTTTAAGACACATTTGAATGGTAAAGGGGGTTTTACAGTTAATTCTTTTACACTTGTATTTCATTCCAAGGATCCTCCTGCTTTGCATCGAGACTGTTCATGCTCAGCATTGACCACAAAGTTGTAAATGACCAAATAACTGACTTCATCTCTGCAATCTGTCTGATGATTGGTAGCTACTACTGCCTGAACATCCACTATCCCCTGGAACTTGGCTCCACACTTGAATTTCTTCAGAGGTAATTCTTTTACTTTTCCCTTGCCTTTCCCTTTTTCTTTTTTTTATTTTCTTCATTGTATAGTGTTTTATTATGGATTATTGTGTTTATCAAGGTGTTTCTTCAACATTAACCCAGAGAAGGGAACAAAAGTTGAAAAAACTAAGAAGAAGACACTGCATGTGAACCCAAGAGTACTCACCCTCATCGCCGATCTCTCTGATCACGAGTGGCGAGAGACCGTTTAGAGACATTTTGAACAGATCGGTACAGTCAGCTTAACTGTACCTTGACTGGGAACTACTGTGTTGTTTATGTTTTCAGTTATCCCAGCTGATATTGAGTATTGTGCTCTTACCTGATTTCTGTTATCACAGGCATGCTTTTCAGAGGTTTTGACCATATATCTTTAAACAATCCCTCTAACTAGGGATTGTTACTGAGAACTCTACTTTTGAGGTTTCAGAGATGTTCTATATTCTATACAACAGAGTTTAAACTATTTGAATTTTGTATTGCCCTAATTAGCAAACAAGTTAAGTGTTGCACTGAACTGTTAACATTGAAATTTAAACAGCACTGTCTGTTACACACATTACTTGACTTTAACTGTTATTATAGCATTTTGTAGCTGTACGTTTCTGCAAAAGTGATGTCACAAGCTTATGTGCTTGTTCAAATTCATGTTTTCCTGACAATGGTTAATATACATTTGTTAGTTGACTTTAAGTGTAGAGCTTAAGCAGTTTTGGCTTTTTTCTTTTCATAATGCCAGGACAAGCTTTAGATGCTTGTTTTGCCTTTATTTGTTTAAAGCAATATATTTGACTAGCAGCAAGTGTGTGGAGGTCAAAATATGTTCAAGACAATAAAAATGTCAGTGGAGGACATCTGAAATTTTGTTGCAGTGGTTTTCTGATGCATGTGTTTTAAGGTTTAAGGGTGGTGGCACAGCTAAGACCCAAGAGTCTCTTTCAAGGTTAGTAAAGTAAACAGATTCAACAAGATATTTTACACATTTCTTTGTTGTCTGTCTCTAAATCTAATTTTGTCTTTATTATGATTAAAAAGGTTTGTTTTGTTCCTGCCCTTTTCAGACAATGAATTTGAGCAGAAACCATAAGGATACTCAAAGGACCTGTGACTCTCAGGAAATGGTGAGATTTCAGGTCATAATCTTTTTTCTCCATTAAATTCATTTTCCTTTTTCCCTTTACAATGTTGCTGTTTTGTTTTTGTAAACAGCATCAAATGAGAGGGACAGATGGAACAGTTTCAAGACAATGGCAGGAAAAACATGCTGAAGATTGAAACAAACCTTGGCTGGAAATATTTGGTATGTGTTTTACCGTAAATCAAATTGTTGAAAAACATTCAGCTACACTGCAACACAGGGAAACTTGATTTGCACTTATTTTGTTACTTTAATTTCTTGTCTCATTATTTTTGTCAGTTATTATTGTTTATGGTGTATGCCCTTCTTGTTTTCTTTCTGAATGCAGAAGGTATCTAGCCAGTCCACAATGAAAGCTTCGTTGCACCCCATGAGTCTTCTGGCAGAAATGATGGCGCCTGTATTCTTTGGTTTCCCTAAACATCACACCCTGCCTGTTTATACGAGGCTCTTCAATTAAGTCTGCACCCAAAGATTCAATGAGAGGTAAGCAGTGGTATTATTCAAGTTTTGCTAAAGAAAGATGGACAGGAGACACTAATTTTAATCAGCCGAGCTCAGGTTCATGTCCAGGTGAGCAGTTTCATACGCTATAAAATGTAGATTGAATGATAGGTCTCATCATCATGCATTCAGCCATTAACTTCAAGTTCTATGATAAATCAATAGGAAACTTAAATACATTTTCCAACAAATTATGATTGTGATTAGGGCTGCGTTGTCTGTGTATCACTTTTACAAAAGTAGATTTAAAGGATAACTATTGCCAAAACGCAAACTGGGCTGTTTTTTTTTTTGTTTTTTTTTGTTTTTCTTCCCCTGTATCGATTTTGATGCGCTCAAATTTATGCCCCGGCCCCCTAGTATTCCCATTCACTGGCTATTGACCACAAAACAAAATCACGGTCAATCTCAAAAACGTAATTATGCTTTTAGATATGTTTGTCTCGTTTACAGTTAAAAAAAAAAAAAAACCAGCCCATGTTGCATTTTGACAATAGCTATCCTTTAAGAACTGTATATTTTACACTTAAGAAATCATTTATCATTAGATCTGTTTTTGGCAGCACGTTTTGTTCATTTCTGTGCATTTTGCTCAAGCACTGATCAAACTTTGTCCATTTTTTTGCTGCAGAGGGGATCCTGCCAGTCCAAAGTGAACTCCTGATGGACATTGAAGTACTCCTGCAGAGCTTGTATTTTCGACACCATGCGCATTAGAAAGTCCACTGAGTCCTTTCCTTCACCAAGGCAGGACCCAGTGACTCATTACTGTTGATAGGTCAGGGGCAGGTAATATTTTGTTTCATGTTTATTCATTCCTCCATGGATTACCAGCCATATATATGGACACATGCTGTATTCTCAAGATCTATGCTGTTTTGTAGGAATAGAGAAAATGATATGTTTAGTCTGTTTTCAAATGGTATGTCAAATTTTCTCATTGTTTATCAGTAATATTCTCTACCTTGGTTGTATATGAGCATCTTTAGATTTTTCTATATTTAGCAGTTGCAAATGTAAAATGTACGGTAAACCATTTATGTTCCTCATATTGTACTGTATTTTTAGCGGTAAAATACCGGCAGCTGTGGTTGCCAGGAATTTACCGTAACATGTATCTGGTCAAAATAAAATGCTGTAATTTGTTATACGATTTCACTGTGTTTTTTACTGTCAAAGGTTTTAATAAGATTTAACATATTTCTGTTATTTTTACAGTTATTTACAATAGTAGGGTCTATCCTATTACTGTTAAATTAACAACAAATTACTGTAAATATTATTATATAACTTTTTTTTTTTTACTGCAAATATCCGTAAAAAGCTATGGAAAGTTGCATTTTTTTACATTAAATTGCTGTATAATTGACAAATATATTTGTTTTTTTCTATCATGATTTTGGTAAAATAATACGTTGTCTACCTTAGAAATTAGGGTTACAAAACCAGTATACCGTATTGTCTTTTACAGATTCCACATTTTTTACACGGTATATTCCTGGCAACCACAGCTGCCGGTATTTTACCGTAAATTTGACATTTTTTTTTTTACAGTGTGGATAATAAGGAAATCCCTTAAAATTAACTCCAGAAGAAGCTTGACATACAAGAACTTGAGTGGCCTTCAGTGTCCTGACCTCAACCCTTCATAGAACCATTGGGATGAACTAGAAAACAAACTGAAAGCCAGACCTAACCTTGAAATATAAGAGATGAAAGCATGAAGTGTTCATAAAAGTCACCAATTGGAGACTTTACTGTCTAATGTTCAAGTTAACTTTAAGATGTTGAATGTTTACGATGAGGGTTTTCATCATTAACGTCTTGCTACACAAAATTTGATCTGGAAACAGTTATGCTCAGAAGTCTGCGATGGGTTTGAGTTCTAATTGGCCTTGAAATGACTTATAGAGTAAGGTGCCTCCATGTGAAATAAGCAGCTCCAAGTCACACTGATGGAGAATTGTTGGACTTTTCCTTTAATGACTCTGAAGCAGTCTTGGCAGGCAGGTCTGTATATATCCTGCAGAGCGCGGAGGAAGGCTGGCTTGCATAATGAGCTGTGGTTATTCATTCATGGTCACAGTCCACAGAGCCTGACAGGATGCTCTGATGGTAGGATAACTTTGTGGTGAAAAAAGCCCTGCACCTTTTTCAAGGTGGGAATCGCCAAACTGACATGGATAGCTGTGCTGCTGGATAAAGGCTGGACCCCAAGACTAAACCTACTACTGTACCCAACTTTAGACGTGAATTACTTAAATACAAAAAACAGATCGGCGATCGGGAAATCTTCCATGGGGGTCTAGTTTTAGTAGTGCGTATCCCATCCTGAACCTGTCAGTGATCTCACAAGAAACTCACAAGGATTTTTCCCTCAATTGCTTTCCTGTTTTGCTCTAGTTTCATAGAGCTCCTGTACAACCACATATATTTTTGCCCAAGTTAAAACATTTTCAGTGGATGTGTTTTTTCATCTCCTACAGCATTTTCTCATTGCCTTTGCTGCTTTAAAATGTGCATCTCATCTGAAGAATACCACAGGCTGCTGTGGCTCATTGAGAGAGAAAAAAATCTACAACTATGGTCACATATGTAACTGTAATCTTTGGATATTCACCTAAATGTTTTAGTTTTTTTATAAAGGAAGAGAAATTGAAAAACATCTGTTTTTTCAGGTCCTCGGCTGTAAAGTGCAAATGCTTTTTTCTGCACCCACAGTCTTCAGTTATCATAGAGGGAGGAATTTGTCAGAAAACGAGCACACTGGCCAACTCTAACGCCCACAGCATCAGGAAATAGACCAGAATTCAATGCAGGCACAGGACAGTTTCAGTAAAATGCTGCTTTTTCTCAACTGAAAAAAAAGACTCCCACCTACTTGTGCTTCTTGCCATGCTTTCATTCACTCCACCTACACATGATGGATGCAACGGATTTATAATCCTTCCTTGTCAGCTGTCAAAGGGCAACCAGGGAAATGTAAGAAGTCACAAATGGAAGCAGACAAGGGAGACAGAAGGAGCAGGATTCTGCCTTATCGCAGATTGATGATCGTTTTGCGTCATGCTACAGACACTTTGTGGATTTTTCCCTTTAACCACTCTGAAGCAGTCTTGGCAGGCAGGCAGGCCTGGGTGTCCTGCAGGGAGTGTGGGAAAGCTGGCTTGCATAATGAGCTGTGGTTAGATTGTTAGCCTGAGATAGAGCTTGACATTCATGGTCACAGTCCACAGAGCCAAGCCAGATGCTTTCGGTTTGGAGAGTTCTTGTCGCGCTCGGCTCCTCCGCCAGCCTGGGATTGAGTTGTGTCCTTTGTAGTTGTCTAACCACAAAATAAAGGCAGTGCTGGCATTTCTGTTTTGGTTGTCGTTCCTCCAGACAAGGTGGCACTGACATGAGGATTGCGTAATCAGGCTAGAGACCAGCGCTGTGAGGCTGTAGAGAACTAAAGTGGGTGATCGCCAGCTTTTTAATCACATCAGTCAACTGTCCCATTACTCTCTCACGCTATCGATGCAATACTTTTGTTAAGAACCTTTTTTTTTTTTTTTTTTTTTTTTGCCTGTCCCGTTTGGCTCTTTTGCCATCAGAATTGTTGTCTAAAGGCAAAGAAAGATGCCCAACGGATTTACTTTACCAAATTGACCATCCCAGCCTTGCCATAATGGTCCATTTGATTCACCTTTTATTGTTTATTTTATTTTCACTTACTGAACATGGGACAGACTTGACTGGGGGAAAGAAGGGGAGAAAGAAAGAGGGAAAGAGAAACAGCTGAGAAGAGGGACGGGGGAGAAGGGCAAAAAACAAAAACCAACAGAACGGGCAGAAAAAAAAAAAGAAAGAAAAAATGCATATATCAATCACCTGGATCACCTGCTGAGAAAGAAAAAAGAAAACAAGCAGAAGAGAACAAGAGTAATAGAATAAACAACATCACAATGATATATGGGAATATGACAGTAAATACTAAATATTAAACATTATTGTGCAGCACATAGGATCAACAGAACACAGTGTGCTTTGAGGTAGGAGCCAAAAAGGGTGTAGTTGGGGGGGGGGGGGGGGGGGGTCACCTGTGTGTACACCTGTGAGCATGGACGCGCTTGTTTTTTGTTTTTTAAAAGGTTCCTTCATGTAATAATCTGCTAGAGGGTGTGGGGGGGCCACAGCCCCGTCCTCCAGGGCATGAAGCAGGTATGGAGGAGATCAAAACTCCAGACATCCAGAGGCCCCCAGAACACAAGAGACCAAGGAAGACCAACAGAGGGGCAGCCACACCACTGTCCCAGAAAGAGCTGAGGAGAGTCCCAGATGAGGGCTCACTCAGCAGCCGCGGAGCAGATGCCAGGGGGAGTTGCAGTGACGCGCCCGTGAGCTCCGCCGGCAGCCAGCCGTGCCTGAGTGACCGAGCCCCAGGCCGAGAGGCCGGGGGCACCCCACCTCCGAAGTGGCCCGAGCGAGCCCCAGGCTCCAGGCCCCGATAAGCGGCCGCCAAGGAGTGAGCCGGTGTGTACCTGGACGCCCATCCCCGGACACAAAGAACCACCAACGCACCGATGTCTGAGGGAGTCCGCCACTGGCAGGGGAAGTGGTGGTGGGTGGAGATAGGCCTCCAAACCTTGGAGGGCCTAAGATGTCCCCAGAGAGGTGGCGCCTGACACCCAACCTGACATATAGACACAGACAGGCACACACAGATACAAACATCCCACCCTCATGCTCTCATATGCACTTACTCCACACTCAACCAACGTGGAGACAGACATAAAGAGACGCTGTACACACGATCACACTCCCCAAGCGTACTCTACGCTCTTTTGTTAAGAACCTTAAAGCTCACAATCTCCACTTGAATCGTGTTTTTATTGCTTTAGTAAAAAATAATTGTGCTGGTGTGAAGCTGCAAAATCACGAAAACTGCATCACTGTCCATCAATGGAGGACTTTGGTAGATTTACCGAACAAAATCAGGTAACAGACCAACCTGATATGGTAAAATTTAATCTATGAGAAGGCTCCATGTCCAACCTTCTACAGCTGTAACACTTGAAGTAATGCCTCCACCAGGTTTTTAAGTTATTGGCATTGATTGTTTATCACGAGGACAAGCACAAAAAGCTGGCAACAGAAGATAAGTCGGGTAATTATTACCCAGTATGGAAACCTGTTCATGAGAGAAATATCCAGTTATCTCAAATATGATGTTATTGTTTTAGCCCAGCATCACACAGAATGTGCCTAAAATGTCATTTGCAGAAAAACATAATGAATTAAATAAAGAGGATGTTTCAAAACATGACCTTTGTATGGAGAAAACTGCAGCCCTCATTAAACCCAATTTCCTTCGGGGTCAACCTTCAGGATCAATAAAGTTTTATTGAATTGAATAGAATAGTTTTGCCTCCTCTAAGCAGCAAAAATTGATGGCCTACAACAGCAGAAGCCCGCACTGGATGGCACTTCTGTCACCTAACAACAGATAAATGAGTCTACGGGTTAGCTAGCTAGAAGAGTGGAGAAGAAAAAAAAAAAAAAAAAGTTGCCTGGTCTGATGAGTCTCAATTTCCTTTGCAACATTCAGACGGCCCCGTTATAACATAAACTAATTGTGGTATATCACATCTTTGGAAAGCTGAGTTCAATTTCTGTAGCCACACTCAGGCCTGATTACTGCCACACCTATTCTCAAACCAAGAAATCATGTAAATAGGATCTGTTTGACAAAATGGAGTGGACCAAAAGATCCTCAAAAGCCAGACATCATTCCATGCTGTGGTGTGCAGGGGGAGCAGCACAGCAAAGAAGGACTCATCCAGGCTGGAAAAACTGATCAGGAAGGCTGGCTCTGTGGTCGCATGAAGCTGGACACTCTGGTGACAGTGGCAGAGAAAAGGACACTAAAAAAAAATTGCTGGACATTATGAACAATGCTGGGCATCCTCTGCACACGGCCGTAAACAACCAG